ACGTACGCATTGTAGAAAATATGAACTGCCGGACAAGTCGGCAGAACGCATCAGCCTAACACATTGTTCGGCTTCTGATGTTGCAACCAACGGCGTCTTTAAGCAAAGAGTACAAAAATCTGCTATGCTGCGACTTTGCGTTGCACCGCTTCATCATATCTGAAACATGCATTCGAAATCTTTAACTTGCAAAGTTTTGAGGGACCAAGCCAAGCAACAACCCAAGTAAATACAACCCATGGTTGCAATGACATAAATAAAATCAAAAATGTACGAAAAAACTCAAATGTAGTGAGTAAATTTAGAAATACTTGTCCCCACCAACTCTCGAGAAAATTTTGTTTTATTAACCATGCGCTTGAGTTCACCATGATCGCAACCGGCCGCATGGCCCTTTGACGGACATTATCATGGCCGCTGTGTCGGTGGTGGTGGTCAGCGGGTGGTCGAGTATTTGTGGAATTCGCGGACACAGTGGCCGCGCCTGGTCGCCTACAACCTCCGCTCAAGCATTGACCATATATTTCTATGTTGCATATGCAACAGCTATGGCAGAGACTGCGGTATGAGACACCGTAGCGGCAACAGGTTAATGAAATGCGCGTCTCAACAATGTCTGCTGTGATTTTACGACGTCGCAGCTTGTGTTGCCATTTTCTCGTTGTTCTTTTTGTTATACTCATTTGTTTGTTGCTTTTATTGGCAAAGTTCCGCGGGGATTAATGACTACTTTGTACATGGCTGTAGTGTTTCGATTTGTTATTGTTCGCGCAAATTTGTAGTTTTTTACGACTCTCTATTTAAACTTTATCTTGTATTAATGTAATTGCGTTCTTTTGTTCAGCTCTTCCACTCCCGTTCTTTCTCTCTCTTTTGTATATTTCGCTACTTTTCGTCACTTTATCCAGTGAGGTCCTCACCCTCATAAAAATGTACGCACTGTCTATTGCCACATTGCCACCACACCTATCTGACTTTGTTTTAGTGTCCTAAAATTTAAAGCTTTTTTATCGTCATTCTTCCATTACCTAACAACAATTATTTGTACGCAGAATTTTATGAGACTAACTATTGTTCCGCAACTAAATTACATACTTCTGCTTGTCCACCTATTTTATGCCTCTTTGTTTCATCGTTTGGAACTAATCACTTACTATCATTTTTATTATATTGTAGGGTCGGTGGTTTCCGCCAACCTCTGATGAAAACGAAGCATGCTGTAGCTAAAGATTCCTTCTAGTAATCCATCGAGTGAACTTAGTTTATTTATGTTAGAGAACCTGACTCCACTGTATTGTTGCTGGGTTATGGTTAAGCTTGTGAACTTATCGACGTAGATTATACAGTAAGATCAAACCGTTTATGTTAACAGGTACTTTTCGTCCAAAAAAAAATCAAATGTTACAATAATTATAAGGTTACTCATATTATAAAAACTGCGCTTGATCCATAGAGGCAGATGACTTGGTACTCTATTTAACTGAGAACGTTGGGGGTCTAACAACCATTCTGAGTTTGCATCCTTTCCAAGATACACCGCCACTCCAAAGAGTACAGATACTCCGAGATTTTCTCCGCTTAAGAATTCAAACTTGATCAACTAAATTACTTTGATGGTAAGATCTCGAATTTTCTACAAATAATAGCGGCAAATGGTGAGCAACAAAGCGCCCAACGAGCAGCAACTGTTGGAGCTCATATATAAGCCAAAAATAACGATTGAGATTTCATTAGTTTAGATCAATCTTTTCCATGTAAAATGTTCCTGAGGCAGCTTAATGTGTAATGAAATTCCACTAATATCTACCGAGGATCTCAGGCATCCATTTCTTAACTATACACGTTGAGTTTTGAACTACACTTTAAGTTGTCGAAAATCAAATCATATCTCTCTGTAGCTAAAAGTAATAGAAGCAGTAGCAAACGGAAAATGTTGAGATGGAATTATAAAAGTTAGCAGTCAAAGTAATACCAGCCGCGTTAGTTTTGGCCAACCAACTTCGCGTATAACAACTGGGCGCTGTTGGTGTACTTGTTGCTGCTGTGACTGTGCCTGCCACTGAAAGCTGGACGTCTGTGTTTGGCAGTAATCACGGCATATCAAAGCGTGCGCATGCGTTGAATTTATGTGGCATTTAAATGTTGACATGGAAATATCAAAGCAAAAGCACAAATTGTGAACTAAGTAAAAGTTCCAGAGTCAAACTGATAAAAGTAGACTTGGTAAGATACATATGTGTAGATTTTAGGCAGTCGAGAGATAGCCTTAGCTATCAAAGAGCAGAGCGTAGATTTCATTTGATACTGTTTTCTAATTCGGTGATTTTGAAACTAAAAACAATCCTGTAACTTCGAAATTTATCTTAATATCAGGACATAGCCAGGAGAACCAAAATTAAAGGAAGATTTCGTGTTTCATATACAGTTTACTGAGAATATAAGCGATTAGAAAATATGAGGAATACTAGATTGCGAGTATCTTGAGTTACCGCACCGGCGGAATAGGTGAAAAAATGAGAATAAGAGACTATGGGACAGTATTTATTTATTTCAATAACCTTAAACCTAAAGAGTTGTGATCAATCTAATTATAAATATAAATATAATGTATTGTTTAAAAAAAAAGTTATTAAGGTTTGTTTTTGTAGCACGATTTTTGCGTCACCCTGTATTTGTTTGATGACAAAGAAAATTTAACCTTTGATCACCATTCAAATTCTAGTCTTTTTTTTGTAGAAATAGTGATGATTATTATCTTCCACGAAAACTCTAGAACTTCAGCTCGATCAAAACTCGATATGAGATAAAACCTGCTAACGGAATATCTATAGGTTCCCACGTTTATGCGACTTCAAAATCGTCATTGAACTGAAAATATAGTTGTATTATTGGGCCCGTGGAGTATGCCCGCTCAATATAAGAAGAAGTTAAATCAAATATAAAGAAAATTTGTAAGCGATTATATTAAGTTTTCCAACATCGTAAAGATTATATATTATTCTGCACATATTTAATGCATTTTTTTACAGTAAAGCAATTTAATTTTCGGTTGAGCATAAATCTTTTAAAAATAAAGTTTCCACCATAAAGTGCGTGCCCAAAAAGGAAAATGGAATATTATTATCCAAAAATTGATCCAAACGACGATTCGTTGATAATCACTATCCCTTTTGCCGCAAAACAAAGTGCGCTTTGAACCACTAGCCATGGGAACTATTGTCCCAAAAAGCCCGCTCGCCTGTGCGACCGAACATTAAAAGCACCAAAAAGGGTGATTACAAAATGTAACCTGCATTTTGACCCAAATATTACAAAGCTACCTCAACTATCCACCCCTCTACATACAAACATCTAAATATGTATATTTTGATATATTTACATTGCACATTGTCATCTAACGACCTAACGGCGGCCGGCGAACGCACTCTACTGCGTCCACCTTAACTGAGCGCATGGCGGCGCAGTGTAAAGAGCTTTTTGATTTATGACAACGCAGCATGGTACCAGCAAATGAACCGAAAAAGTCGCATAAAAGCTAAAACGGCCAGCGCGTAGAGAGTGGCGTTTCACGCGCTGCAAACTTATAATTGTGTGTCACATAGAGTGTCGCACATGCCCACAAAACACTGGCGCAAAGCAGAGCGAAAGAAGCGAAAATTGCGAAATTGTCGACAAAAGCGCGGCAGCAATTGCCGTCGGTGGACAATATTGAATTACAAATGAATTTAGTTTAGTTGTCGTACACCTCGTCTTCATCATCGTCAACGTCGTTGTCGTCGTCGTGTGGCCAATACGCACAACGTTGCGCAAGCGGCCTAAGTCAGCATAAGTTATCGTCTTCGTCTGCTGCATCGTCTTGGTGGTTCATTTCTAGGAAACAACAAATCTGCACTAACTTCCTTTTACGCGCGTCATTTTAAATGACACTGGCAATCCTTTTGACCATTTTACGATTGTGCCGAGTGCGTTGCTGTGCCCAGTCCAGCGGCGCATAAAAATGTCTCAATTAGGTTTATGACAGAAAGGCGCAGAACGCTTTAGCGTCTGGAAAGATGAAGTTATACTCAGCAGAGTAGTAACGCACGAACAGCTGTGTGGTTATTTGGCCAAACACAGATTTAGTGTTGGAACAGCAGCGAGCTCGAAGCACTTTGGGGCTTACTGTTGTTATTGTGTGGAAACAACCTCATTGGGTGCGTTGCTTAATGCGGGGCAAATTTGGAGCCGCTTGTGTTTTAATACGGCTGTAGTTTTCAGTATCATTTAGAAGATTAAAGAGTAAAAGTTCAAATAGGTACGTAATCTTACTATACTATTCTATATCGAATGGCTAAACCTTCTGATGCTCATTACTGAAATAATTGCAATATATAGATGAAGTCGCATGGATCCCAATTCGAATATAACAAAATATTTTGGATCAAGATGAATGGCACTTCAGTATTAGTTATAAAAATATAATAATGGGGCAGTAACAGGGAGAGTTCGGATTCATACTTGTATCAGAAGAATATTATAGAAGACTTCGGAATTACGTTTTGTTGTCTGTAACTCAGCATAAGAATTGGCGAAGACTTGGAAACTTAAGAAAATCTTTTTGACCGGTTTTCTTGAATTAAAAGAAGGCACTAATATGTCTGTATGCGATGTTATTTGGTATAGGTTATAGCTGGCTCATTTTTAGCAAGATTTCTTCGACAAAAAAACTATATATAATATATATTAGTAGGTATAAGCCCTCTAAAGCTTAAGTGTTAAGGCTCGGCGAGATAGAAGTTGCCTATCTGGATCAGAAATCCTTCTAAAATTTTCTAACCGGTCTCTCATTTTAAATATTATTTGCTTGAGTTCACGGATAGCTCTATGAAGAAAAGGTAGATAAATAAAGAATCTACAGATTAGGGATAATTTCTTATAGACATCCACTAATTTAAGCCTACCAAAGTTTCTCTCTTTTGTATTCGAGACAATTAATGAAAATAGTGTATTTTTTCGTATACATATATTTTATTTATGAAATTGAATAAGGAATATTTTATGAAAATAGTCTATCTGATGTATTAGCATTTAGGATCCAGTACAGGTCTAAGCCCAATGACTTAACAATTCAGAGGATGGCACTAATTTCAATGGAGCTGGGGGGTCGGCCAGAAATGGTGGTGGTGGCAGGGCCGTGAAGCTTCTGTTAAAGTTAAAAAATAATTAGAAAGTCTTTTATAATAACCGTTACTTATTAGTGTGCTACAACCTTGGTCTCACGCTATGTGGTAGTCTCAAGTTTCTACGAGAAAGAAGTAAAGCGTAAGTTTTTAGAAGTTTTCATAAATAGTTGTATGTTTTACCTTGGCTTGGACGCTATGAAATTGTTGGAGGCGAATTGTCTGCAATTAAGTGAAATTATGGAGGAGATAAGAGATATTATGAATAAAAACTGTTTTGCCTTACTTCGCATTTGAAACAGGGAAGCGAATAGCTGGGAATTTAGTGTTTCTTGGCTTTGCCAAGGCTTTTGATTTTGCTTTAGTACTCTTTCTAGCGCTGTTCTTAGATTTTCGTGCTCCTGATTTTGTTGAAGTTCTGCGAAAATAATTAACAAATTACAAAAATTAATACCAAGAGTGAAAAGACAGCCTAACGTAGCTGAGCTTAATACCTTTATTCGTACTAGAAAATACAATAATTTTAGTTTAAAATAAACTTGAGGATTATGATTCCAAAACAGGTGTATGCAGGTTTCACGGCAACGAACTTACCGAATAAAAGGATTTTTTGCGAACGGCTTTGTACGCCTGAACGGTGTACGTGAAAGATAAGAAAAGCGGTGATGGCCAAGACCATAGCCGCCGTAAACTGGTGCGGGTACAGGTTCGGGTTCCTCTTCAGGTTCAGGCTCGGGCTCTGGTTCTGGCTCAGGTTCTGGCTCTGGTTCTGGTTCTGGCTCGGGTTCGGGCTCTGCTTCAACCTCAGCTGGTGGTGCCGGTGGTGCTGGTGCTGTATACATAGCAGACAATTGTATGGGTACGAAAGCTGGCAGAGAAACAGTTAGTGGTACACCGGGTGGTGGCGGTTTAGCACCAGCTGGTGGTGCAGGTGCTGGCTCCTCTGGTTCAGGCTCTGGCTCTGGTTCAGGTTCCGGCTCAGGTTCTGGCTCTGGTTCAGGCTCTGGTTCGGGTTCTGGCTCTGGCTCGGGTGCAGGCTCTGGTGCTGGGTTTTCAACCTCCTTCCACGCTTCGAGCAGTGCTATCAGCTCTTCTTTCGTTATGCCAATAGTGCCAAGAGAGTTAACTGGACCGACGCTGCCATAGCTAACAGGACCATCACTTACAGGCCCCCAGCCACCGTACAGAGAACGTTGGGACCGCATCATATGTGATGCTGGTAAGCCATAAGATGAACGTGGTTGTATATGATTTTGTGGTTCCTGCTGGTGCGTTGCGTACTGCGGTGCATACTGCGTTGGTTGCAAATGCGTTAAGTGCTTTGGGGTTTCGAACAGAAACTGCCCAGCCGAGCCATTGGCCCAGAAGCAAAGCAGAGAGAAGATGCTCTAAAAAACCGTTAGATGTTAATAAAAATAGAAATACTATAAGAACTTTCATTTGAACTCACTAAAAATGTTGCTAACCGCATTTTCAGAAATGTTTACCAATAAAAACACGCTCACAAACTTTTGAACTGTAAATTGTAGACCACTGTTATTTAGTTTAAAAATTAGCAGTCACTTTTATCTGTCTCCAATTAATCCTTCAATGAATTTCACTTGTCCAAGCAACGCTGTTTAATGTGCCACAAATACCGAAGTGATTTATTTTTATACCAACCACCAACTCAATTCATTCAAAACTCAAAGCGATTAATCCCATTGCTGTCGATCTTAATACAATGTTTAACCATTTGGTGTAACCACAAATGCCGAAGACCAAAAACATTCGGCCGCTTCCTTATCCTAACGCACTAGGAAGCAATGTGCATCGCTTCACGCATCCAACTTGTATGCACAAATATGGCCTTGTTACACTTTTGTTTGACCATCTAACGGTATTTCATGGTTTTCATTAGCTCCATCGCCGTACGCGTGCGGGGCGGATAGTAGATGTGCTTGTTTTTGTTTCGTTTATGTTTCAAATAACGGTTTGTTGTTTGATAAATTAGGCCAAAGAGGATTTTGTGGTATTAACCAGAGGCTTGGGCGATAAATAGAGAAAAAAATACAAAACTACTGAAATTATATATGTCATGGCTCTTAGACGACTTGACCAAAAAGAGCCTATCCGGATTTTGTTATTAGTCGAGGCTTAAAGACATTTATGTGCATATGTTGTGTTATGTTATGTAGCATACCCAACCATGTTGATCATGTAACTCTGGCTTTTTATATGTATAAATATTATATTAGGGTGGAATATTTTAACTAGTAGAAGTTGCTCTCCTACTAATAACCCCACCACTCTTTACTACGAACGATATCACTCTTTTCAAATATTTGAATATATATAATATATATGTATGTAATTTATCCCCTAACAAAATATGAACATAGTCATAGTCCAATTATGTATTTGACAGTTTCAGATAGTGATAGGAGAACGATTCTTCTATCGAAGAGCTTAATAACACTTCTAACACCACGTTTATCAGCGCAGTTTGTACACACTTCCATTGGGCTCTAGGATCTTTTCCTTCAGTGTCATCCGTATTCAGCACCACAATGATAATACGGAACCGGCTGAACCTTTATGAACTAGTAGGCAGTACAACACGAGTTTAGGAGAAAGTAGGTCAGCACCAGATATCCGTAAGCTCCGTTCGAGAAAGGCCCCCTAGCCAGGCTGATCCTCGGCACGGGTCGCATAACACCTTGTTCCAGCTTTGTTTTGTTCCCTATATTTACTATGGTAAGCCCACGCACGCCCAACTATAAAGCCACACCTAATCTAGATACTTGCTAATGCTAGAGGAGTGAAGTGTTTGAAGTCGGTCGTGATTCTGTAATATCTATTACCAATCGGCACTCTCGAGGAGGGTTCTTTTACTTACTTTGGACATATTATATAAAAACTTTTCTCAGCACAATTTTAAAACTGGGGACACCCTAATGTACACTAACTAAATTCCATCAAATGAGTAACGACTAATCGAACTAGTGCAAAGAGCATTGGCAGCAACCCGCGAAGTTTTCACATATGGCCACGGTCGGTTACTTCCTAGGGCCGTAATGGGGACGCAGTTGCATAGTTGTTTCTACATCGATATTGACGAGTTATTCGCAGCTCAGTTGGTGTAACGATACATACATACATATAAGATTGACATTTGGAAATGTCAAAATATTAATAAAATTATAACACCTCTGTCATACGAATTTGTCAAGCTTCGATTTAGTGGCTTTATAGACACACACCATGCGCGGCTCTTTGGAGTAAACGTAACTACCGGACATACGCGTTCATACCGAAAACTGAAAATCCCAAATGTTTAAAGATAGTTCGGTATATCTGACATGTGTTATATATTGAGCAGCTCCTTAAAATCAAATAGAAATGCAAAAGGTGCGTTGCATAACTAAACACTCCTAGAAAAAAAAAACATCCTCTAAGTGTGTATATACCATATGTATAATATACCATATACTAGTATATCGCTCCATAAGATAGCTTTCGTTACATGTTATTGTACGGATTGAGGAATGACAAGTAAAGTTATATAGAGTAATTTTTAGCAGGGGTACCAAAGAGTCTAAACTGTGCCCTTCTGCGAACCTTGGTTAATATAAAACTTTGCTCTTTTTGTAATAACATAGAACAATCAACAACAACCCTTTGTTTGTTTGGTAAAAGATCACCCCACGTATTAGCTTGCATCTCACCCATATCAAATTACACCAATTAATCATTATTTGTATATCCCTTTGTACCTGTCACTACAGGTGGACTCTTTGGATATAAAGGGAACCGATTTGTAGAACTTTCGTAACAGGTTATCTTGTAGACCTTTAATGTCCTCTAATATTTATTTGAAGGGAATAAATTGAAATTTTGGCGTGTAATTTCTCCGAAACAACACACCTTACCAAAAGCTAATCACCGGTTAATCTTAACAGAGACATCATATGTTATTTTATGTTTGCCACAAAGTTTGTAACACCTAGAAGTAAACGTCGAGCTGATTTGTTTTACTCATGTTTGTCTATCTGTATATGGTATACGTGAATCAGTCGGAAGTCAGAAGCTAGTCATTTATCGGAACCGTTGATATCGGATTACTACAGGATATAGCAGCCATACAAACTGATCGGTCGATATCTTAACGAAATTTGGCACAGGTGATTATCGATTATGACTATAGCATATGCCTGCTATTCAAACTGACCGAATAAAATCAAGATGAAGATATTTTTATACCCTTTTATTTCTATAAGAAATGCGTCTGCCGAAGTTAACGTTTTTTCTTGTTTTATTGATTTTTTCCACAATTAGTCTTCCAGAGCGTGTGCATCTTTGACATTAAAATTATCAAAACATGATCAACGAAAAGAAAATTGACCCAGAATTGACAGCAGGTGGGGCAGATCTTTACCAAAATAATAATAATGTTACGAATATTATGACTCCGAATATTGAATAATCTATTTTTTATTAATTAAATTTTTATCAAATTCTATATTTTTATTTGCCATTAAAAATGTGTATCGTAAATATTATTTTTCAATAACCCTGCTGTCTCTTCAATTGATTTGTTCCGCTTGAGATATGCGAAAATACGCTTACAACTATGCAAACATTTTGTGCATGCATTGTGATCGTGTTAGGTTTATTTCCGTTACGGAATTTCTTGATTCAGTTCCCATGCTCAAAGCCCGCGATAGAAGCTATGCAGTAGCTTAATAAGTTATACTGAGAATCATGAAATAAAATCGAAGTGGGACTTAAATATAAATAGCACTTAGACACGCTTGTTGGCTTCCTGCTGAAGGACATAACATATACATAAGCTCTTTGGTTCCATTGTCATCCACGGCTGGCTAAACATTTGCAGAATTACTGCCGCAAACAATACTCCAAAATCAGATACCAATTCGAAAACAAGATGTCAGAACCTCCTACTCTGAAATAAAATTCCAATCACAGCTTTTTACTAATTAAAACTCTTGAATTTGTTCACCTGCCGCATCTGAATTCTTAAACCCCATTGTAATATATCACAGCACCACAGCGTGTGTCCAGCTGTGTCTGTATGAATGCCTGCGACACTTAACCCTCTGGGTAATCTGTCAACAATACTTTCACGTGTCCGTTTGGTATACAGGCGACACAAAAACCAAGCGAGCTGCAACAAAAAAATGGTGGAAAATAGGCAGCAAATCCATGGGCGCTCCGCAATCGCCTTGCCCCAGCAGGCAATTTTACGGCGTCGCACCCGTAGCGATTGTCACGATAAATGCGTGAAATCGGCGCTGACGATGACTGTGCCGCTCCGACGTTTCACACTTGAACTGACGATCTGATGATTGCCAAAAACGGTTACGCGCTTAGCGCGTAAATTGAAACGTTTCGCCATATTCGGCGCAGAGCCCATCAACCAGTGACCAGCCAGCGAGCCGCTGGTTTGCGGACGTCGCGTATGTAAGTGAGCTGGTGGCAATTGACACCAAATCTTAGCGACAGAAAGGAGGCTAGACACACCATTTTCGGCTGCTGTTGAACCGTTGAGTGACATATGCAGGTGGTAATGTCTTAGTAATGACTTGGCGTATTGCGCGCGCGACGTATCGTCGGATTAGTTAGTTACTTAGTTGTTGGCGATATAGGGGATTAAGATGTCAGTCCGTTATGGTGTAGATGGTGCCACTAGCTGACGATCTATGTATGTTAATTGAGCACAATTATGGTAGTGATGAGAAATGCATATTGGCTGCGATTGTCTGCCTATTAAGCTTTTTTGTGCTTCGATCATTTTGGTGATTAGATAATTGCGTAATTGCGGGAGTTATTACTTAAATAATCAAAAATTTTCAGCCAGTCTAAAAATGGATTTTTGTAAGCCGAATTTTTGTTTGAGCGCAATATAATGATAAAATATCCTGCTAATTAAAGAAACATTAAGAATAACTTCGCTAATATCGCTGTAACATATGGTCGGATAACGGTACATTTAGGGTATAATATCATTTTTTACTGTATACTATTCTTTCTGTTTAATATAAATTTGGCAGATTATACGGCTTCATTCCAGTAAGCAAAGTCAAAAAAAATTAACTTCAGTTGCACCGAAGCTTTAATACCATTCAAAAATACAAAAGATTCCTTACAAGAACATAATTCCGATCGTCGAGTGTGTTGGGCAGATATATGCTATAATGATCCGATCTGAAAAGTGTCTACGGAGATTGCATTATTGCCTTTGATAATAATCCATGTCGAATTTCGTAAAGATATCTCATCGAATGAAAAGATTTTCGATGCAAGCACTTGATGATAAGCTACTTGTATAGCGGTCCGATATCGGCGGTTCTGACAAATGAGTAGCTTCTCGGGGAGAAACTGACGCTTGAAAAATTTCGGATCGCTATCTCATATTTCGATTCGCGTATATATAGACAGATAGGCAGAGGGGCTGACATGGCTAAATCGACTCAGCTCATCATGCTGATCATTTATATATATATTTTATAGAGTCTCCGAAGTTTCCTTCTGGGTGTTACAAATATCGTGGCAAACTTAATATACCCGGTTCAGGGTATAAAAATTTTAAATCGCCACGAAGCCGATCGCACC